CTCGCTTGCTCTTTCTAGAGCTTTTCATTCACTCTCTCCTCTTTGGGTTGTTCATTCATTCTCTCTTACTGGGGATCTTCATTCACTCGCTTATGAATATAGCACTTCTTTCACTCTCCTTTTCACATCAAATTCTTCTTTCATTAGAGTCCAAGAAGGTGCTTCATTGAAAGAAGATCGTTACATTTTTTACGTAGGGGCAAATGGAGAGAAAGAAGTGGGAGATGACATATGTTGAACAGGTGTTCAACATCTGTTGAACACATAAACAGGGGTTGGGTGAACACCGAACCGCAGGTGAACGAAATATGAACATCGTCTAGCGATGATAAAACTCCAAGGAGGAGTTCAAACATGTTATTGAACATGAAAGGGATGATTAGAGTACCTGAACATGTTATTGAACATGAAAGGGATGATTAGAGAGTACCTGAACTCCAGAAACCACTGAACGTTACGTTCACCATAATGAACATCAAGTTAATGTCAACACAAAGCGCTCGTTGAGAGCAATAGACTATAGTTAATGAACGCCAGTGAACACATACTGAACAACTGAAGGGAATGAACGTTCATGTAGTGAGTTGAAGAGCTGTGAGCTCCAGTTTGTGAACATCCTCTGAACGCTGTCTGTATAATATCCATATGAACGTAAATGAACAATTAGCAAATTGTGAACGTTTTATGAACTCGAATGAACATATAGTTCTTTGCTGAACGTCAGAATTGCCACCTTTAGTAACCGAAGAACACTCGTTTGAGGACACTGGAGCTTCATTGAACACAGCATGAACGCATTGAACATAACTGGAACTTCAGTGAACATCATTGAACCCATTGAACATAACTGGAACTTCAGTGAACATCATTGAACCCATTGAACATAATTGGAACTTCAGTGAACATCATTGAACGCACTGAAACTGTATTGGCCGGAACGTGAACTTAGACAAAAGCATAACACCGAAGAGAACGTGAAAAACGTTGAACAGTGTACAGTGAACGCATATATGAACGTGAACAACGTTGAACAGCCTCCAGTGAACGCATATATGAACGTGAACAACGTTGAACAGCCTCCAGTGAACGCATATATGAACGTGAACAACGTTGAACAGCCTCCAGTGAACGCATATTTGAACGGGAACAACGTTGAACAGCCTCCAGTGAACGCATATATGAACGCACACTATCTGTCTGATGACGATAGTTTAAGACTGAACATGATGAACAAGTCTGATACTCATAGTTAACTCTGACGATGATCAGCATGACTGAACATGATAATTAGGCGTGATAAGGGTTAGATCTGAGGAATGTGATTAAGTCTTAGGATAATTATCAAGTCTGAAGATGATGGGCAAGTCTTATTATAATGTTAAGTGTAACAATAGATAAATGTAATGCTGAGGGTTAAGTCTGAGGGCGATTGGTTAAGTCTGAGGCTGATTGGTAAGTCTGAGGCTGATTGGTAAGTCTGAGGCTGATTGGTAAGTCTGAGGCTGATTGGTAAGTCTGAGGCTGATTGGTTAAGTCTGAGGCTGATTGGTAGGTCTGAGGATCATTCTTAAGTCTTTCATTGTATTATCAACAGGTAAGGCAGTTTTTTTTTGTTCATTCTGTACGTTAATGTTAACTGAACACAGTCTACCATCAAGTGAACACTGAACACAGTCTACCATGAAGTGAACACTGAACACACCCTACCATCAAGTGAACACTGAACACACTCTACCATCAAGTGAACACTGAACACAGTCTACCATCAAGTGAACACTGAACACACTCTACCATCAAGTGAACACTGAACACACTCTACCATCAAGTGAACACTGAACACACTCTACCATCAAGTGAACACTGAACACACTCTACCATCAAGTGAACACTGAACACATTATATGACTATCAAGATGTACAAAAGTTCGTAATGAACATACAGATGTATGAATCTGTCTTAACAGATAACACATATCTGTTAAGTATGAAGCAACATTTCTTATAAGAATGGCAGTGAACAAAGCCAGGTAATTGTTCATAATGTGACGAAGTCTCTTCATCATGTATGGAGGCAGGTGTATGATAACATCATGTATGGAGGCAGGTGTATGATAACATCATGTATGGAGGCAGGTGTATGATAACATCATGTATGGAGGCAGGTGTATGATAACAACATGTATGGAGGCAGGTGTATGATAACATCATGTATGGAGGCAGGTGTATGATAACATCATGTATGGAGGCAGGTGTATGATAACATCATGTATGGAGGCAGGTGTATGATAACATCATGTATGGAGGCAGGTGTATGATAACATCATGTATGGAGGCAGGTGTATGGCATTGACTCATACATTATAGAGGCCAACAAATGGCCACACCTTTTATATTCTCTCAGTAGCTAAATTACCCACAAAATCTACTTAACCTCTTCTGAGTTTCTCACAAAGTCCACTTAGTCTCAGAAGTCACTCACGTACCAGCTTCAGACTTAAGGCTGACTTAATGAGGAAAGAAGTGACGATTTAGACTTCTCCATTATGAGTGATGTTGGGGAAATATATGAATGATCGCGACACTGAGGCGCTGGAACTGGAAACTGGCCGCTCTTGAGTCTTTAGCTTTCTCAATGAGGAACTCACCCACCTCCTTTAATAATTTAAGTGCACATTTACCCCAGGCGCCCAGAGTCTCAGAGCCTATCGGCAC